CCTTGTTGAAAAGCAAAGTGGCAATTCAATTAAGGTTCATAGAACAGATGGTGGTGGAGAGTATACCTCAACTGAGTTCAATAAATTCTGTGAAGACAATGGAATATTGCATGAGATCACAACACCTTATACTCCTCAGCACAATGGGGTGGCTGAAAGGAGAAATAGGACTATTGTGAACATGATAAGGTGTATGCTCAGAGAGAAAGGAGTTCCAAAGTATCTTTGGGGAGAGGCAGCAAGTACTGTAGTATACATACTAAACAAGTGTCCTACTAAGAAGCTTCAGGGTGAAGTACCATAAAAGGTGTGGTCTGGTGTGAAACCTAGTGTGAAGCACTTTAATGTTTTTGGTAGCTTATGCTATAAGCATATACCTGATCAGAAGAGGAGAAAGCTAGATGATAAGAGCAGACAAATGGTGATGGTTGGGTATCATACTGCAGGCTCTTACAAACTATTTGATCCAATTGCTAAGACATTCTCCTACAGTAAAGATGTGGTCTTTGAAGAGACGCAGGGTTGGAATTGGAATGAATCTGTTACATATTCAAGACCAATTCCTAACATATTAGAAGAAGGGGAGCATAATAATAATGAGGATTCTGGTAACATAAATGCCAGTAATCAGTTTGGTGAATTAAATTAAAGACCTGTGAGAAATAGACAACAATCAACTAGACTCAGTGAGTATGAGGTTTATGATGATGCTGAGATTGATGAAGAAGGAGAGTTATTGCATTTTGCGTTATTAGCTGACTGTGAGTTAATTGATTGGAGGCAGGCTCTATCTCAGAAGGAATGGAAGGAAGCTATGGAAGAAGAGATTAGATCCATTGAAAAGAATTCTACATGGGAACTCACAACACTACCATCACACAAGAAACCTATAAGTTTGAAGTGGGTTTTTTAGATCAAGCATAAACCAGATGGTTCAATTGCCAAGTACAAAGCCAGATTGGTAGTTAGAGGTTTCCTGCAGAAAGAGGGCCTTGATTACACTGAAGTTTTTGCTCCAGTTGCGAGATTAGAAACTATAAGAATGGTGGTTGCACTTACTAGCAGCAAAAGGTGGAAAATGGCTCAATTAGATGTAAAATCTGCTTTCCTCAATGGAGAGTTGGAAGAGGAAGTATATGTAACTCAGCCACCAGGTTTTGAAGTTGAGGGAGCAAGTGATACGGTACTCAGGCTCAGGAAAGCTTTATATGGCTTAAAACAAGCTCCTAGAGCTTGGAATAAAAAGATAAATGCATATTTGAATGATATAGGTTTCAGAACCAGTGTTAGTGAGCATGGTGTATATGTAAAAAGATCAGGGAGAGACATTGTTGTGATTTGTCTGTATGTTGATGACTTGTTAGTAATCAGCAACAATGTTGAGCAGATTGAAGATTTTAAGAGTCAGATGAAACAAAAATTTGAAATGACAGATTTGGGGAATCTGGCATATTTTCTGGGAATGGAATTTTGTTTGCAGAGTGGTGGAATTTTTATACATCAAAAGAAGTATGTTACAGACATCTTGAAGAAGTTTCAAATGACTACTTGTAATCATGCAAATAGTCCAATGGAACCTAAACTCAAACTTGGCATATGTGAGCAGGAGAATGATGCAGATGCCAGTATGTTTAGGAGTCTGGTGGGAACTCTGAGGTTTGCATGCAATACCAGACCTGATATTTCCTTCAGTGTAGGACTTATCAGTAGGTTTATGCAACAACCTAAACAATCACACTATATAGCTGCAAAGAGAATACTCATGTATTTGAAGGGTACAACTGAGTATGGATTATGGTTTCCAAATGAAGTAATATCTGAAGAAAAGGGTTTGGTGGGCTTTTCTGATTCAGATTGGAAGGGAGATGCTATTGAAAGAAAAAGCACTACATGTTATGTGTTCAAACTGAATGGTGCTACAATTTCTTGGAGTTCTAGGAAGCAGCCTAAAGTGGCATTATCCACTTGTGAGGCTGAATATGTAGCAACAGCTTATGCAACTTGTCAAGGAGTATGGCTGAATACTTTGTTGGGTGAAATACTGGGTGAAGAACAAGAAACTTTTCAGCTACTAGTTGACAATAAATCTGCCATAAACCTTGCACAGAATCCTGTTTCACATGGTAAAGCAAGCATATTGAGCCTAAGTATCATTGGTTGAGAGAAAAAGTGGGTGAAAGAAAACTGAATTTACTCTATTGCAATTCTGAAGCTCAGGTTGCTGATGTCCTAACTAAATCATTGTCAGTTGACAGCTTCAGAAGGTTCAGAGAAAAGCTTGGAGTTATAGCTCCAAGTTTGTGAGAAAAGAATGTTTTTTTTACGTAGTTTGAATTAAGGGAGAGTGTTGATGTGTATAATTCAAACTGTATGTAATAATGTGGTGTGTGCTAAATGTGGTGTGCTGAACTATACTTACTGTTACTATAAATAGTAAGGAATGTAAAATGCGTGTGGTGTGGTGGCTTATAAAGCATTAATAAAACTCTCTCTCTAATAACTAGTTTGTTATTACAGTTAGTGACCCCATCATGTTTAAGGGTAATAAGTCTTACTTCATAGTTCATACTTCATACATGTCTTATCTTTCTGTAAAATGTATCATTAATGTTATGATTAAAGTACTTCTCAACTTGAGGAAGGTATCAGGTATGACTCAAGTAAAGAAAGATACGGAGTACGTAGTATGATACATATAAGGAACTAAAGCTTTGTTTGCAAACACTAAAAAGAAGCACTTCCCACCTTTTGGCTTAAAAAATATTTATTTTATCAAACACTGCTAACTTTTACTTTTCTCGGATTTCGTGTAGAATATACTTTTTACTTTTTCTATTACACAAAAAACACTTATTTTACCAAACACTACCAACTTTTACTACTAATCACATTTTAAAAAAAAAATACTTCTTTTAACACAAACACTTGCAAACGAAGCAATTCAGGAATGTAATAAAATTTCATCTTGTCATAAAGAAAACTTATCAAGTTGTTATTTCAGATCACTTTAAGAGAGCGGTTGGCTTACATTTGAAATAATTATTTTGTACTTTATTTAAAAACTGCAAGGGGTTAGTAGATGAATTATGAACACTATTACACTTGAGTTTATGTGTGCTGGTGTGCATATGCTATGCACGTAGTTTAACCGCCACATGTTACAGAGGACCATCTAATCGATTTGGAGGTCCTGATTTTAAGTGAGGAATTGAGACCCCATAAAATAATAAAGAATATAAAATTTAACAATGAAATAAAAATAAATTAGATATTCAATGAAATATGTGTTTTATAATGTTTTAAGGATACAAATTAAACAATCTAAAAGTTTTATACCTTTTGGAATTTTAAATATACATGACATTTAGAAAAATCAACCTATAACTAATATTCCACCTTTCCACTAACAATATAATGGGACAAGAGAGAGTAACACGCAAATCAATAAAAAATGATTTATGTAGTTATATAGAATTGACAAATTAAGAATGATTTAGAGTCAAACAAACTTTACCAAATTTGATTTGAGACAATCTTAGTGGGATAAGCCGGAAAGGTAAAATGGAACAAACTTAGCGAGACAAAGAAATTACTACATACTAAATTTATAGAGAATCCCCTATAAGAGTGAACTCCAGTGCCAAACACCTATTTTACTTAAAGACGTCCCTGATACTTCTGTCAAATGGAGCATATGTGCTACAAATCTTACCGTCCTAATTATGAAATATTTTATTAATGCATTGAGTGACGGTCAAATAGAAGGCAAATAGAGGCAATTACCCCCTTCCCCCAATTTCATAAATAGGTATAATTATAACAACAATATTACATGCACTAATATTTATAGTTTTTACTCTACTTCTTCTTCCACCCGAAGAATCTGTTGCTTGCCACTCCACCTCGTGCAATGCACCGGTGATATTTATGAATAACTAACATGTACGGAGTAGTATTTATAGTTATTCATAAATATCACCCGTGCGTTGATGTGGTGGATATCTTACACGCATTCAACAAATTAGGATTGTGTCTTGTTTGAGATTGATTTATGGGTGCTACGAGGACAAGGTTCATTCTCTTTAAGGAGCTCATCTCTCAAAAACTCCAAATGTGCTTGGTAGAGAGTGGCTGTATCGGGCCCTGCAAGGCGGGTGGTACATTTGGTTCATATGAATGATGGTGAGGCGGGCGGTACATTTGGTTCAGATGAATGATGGTGGTACATCGGGTTTCGATCCTCGCAGGTTCCACCCCTAGATGGAGGATGGTGGCTAGTTGTAGTGCACGAAAAGATGGGCACAAAGGAGGACTTATGATATTTTTACTTGGATTGTTTTCAATTTCAAACTATATCGCCAAGTACCCTATGGTCTGATGGCATCACTGTGACACTCCCAAGGAGGAGGTCACAGGTTCGAATCGCATCCCAGTTCAAAGATGTTGACATTAACATTGAGCAGATACTATATATATGTTTAGAAAGAATTGACAAAAAAATCAAACTATATCAGATCAGACTTTGATAATTATAAAGTGTACACAGATTAGACATCTATAAGATCAGATCAATTTAGATTAGACCAAACTAGATCAGACTAGACCGGATAATTTCAATTCAATTAAAAATATTCTCAAAAAATATCTTTGAAGTAATTAAAGAGGAGGCTGATTTTATTGACCTCATCTAAGGTGGAGATCACCCCTACCTTATATGTTTTTTTTGCCATGTGACATATCAATTCTTTTTTTAATTGTTACAACTTTATATTTGTGCTCCAATTGTTAACAAAAAAATAAAATAAAACAGATTTACTCTGTTCCATAAAATACTTCTCACTTACAGATTTATATTTGTACATCTCACTCAACCACCCTTTTTGAGTTGTTTGTGATAGACAATTTGTCTACGAGAATAGACAAATGTATAAAAAAGATGTACACATTTTGTCTATATTCATTTTCTAAATGTAATGTTCTCGTGTAAAAGCTCAAATGCTCAATGGGATGGGGTAAACAACTAAACATCACCCTTTTGAGGGTGAACAAATTTAAGAGCCTAATTTGTCCCTCGTGCCAAAGTTTGACACATCGGCAAAATCAACCGAGCATAGTTCTGAATCTTGATTCAGCAATTCATCATCAACTGATTCCGCCAACGAACCTCCTCTGAAATTCGAACACGAGCAGCAATCTGTACGAGGAACACATAGCAATTGTGGTTTCCTTCAGAGTTGGAAACTAGCAATTTTACTCTTCCCACCTTCAAATAAGAGGCTCAAATGACTTAGGGTTTACAGTGAATCACCCACAGCTCAACCTAGAAACCAACGTGATAAAGCAGGGACAATGGCATTTTGGAGCCGATTCAAGGAATCTCAGATCAGGGTCTTGTCAAACGGACTAAAAAGATTCCATCTTCAAACACATAATCATGGTCAACTGCAGCATGGTGGTACCTTGACACATGCCATCTGCCTTACGAACAGTCCCAGTCTAACTAACCGCGCGAATCGGGGCGAGATTCTTAACAGCGCCAGGTTCTTTGCTGCACCAGTGCAGGCAGGTTCTTCGTTCGTAGTTAGCTCCAATTTACAGTAGCTTGCACTCACTCAAGAATTCTCATGTTCAAGGGCGTTATTACGATTTGCAGGCTCATCAGAAGGAAGAGAAGGACAAAGATGGATGTAGATTGAATGAGAAGATTACTGCACCTTTCGTTCGTCTAGTCACTGATGAAGGTAGTATCATCTGGCTTCATCTTTATTTTTATATGTATATATAAATATAAATAAAGGAAGCTAAACTGGGAAGCTAAACTGGGAAAAGTGAGCCAGTGTGTATAATCTAAATGTTTAACTGCTGAGTGAAAACAGTTTCAGTTTATGCACAGACTTTCCTTCTGAGTTTAATGTAAGTTCATATGCAGGTCACACTGTAGTATCAAGGTTTGAGGCTCTGGATCGGGCTAAGCATTGTAATCTAGATCTAGTGGAGGTAAGTTCTCATATGAACATCAAAGTGGCTGTGGAAACAAATTATCAGTTGTCTCAGTCTCTCAGCAGTCACTGCTTGTTGCACAAGATTTTATAGAGAAATATAGACAAAGTAATTCATCTTAAAGCTTTATCTAATGCCTATACGCTTTATTGTGAATTTGTGACACTGTAGGTCGATCGAGCAGCTGATCCACCTGTCTGCAAGATTATGGACTATCATAAAGAAACCTATGTTAAACATGTAAAGGATAAAGAAAAAGCTAAGAAGAAGGTATGTAATGTCGTATTTCGGTTCTTTTCTATTAACCACAGTACTACTTGTCTACACTTAGACAAAGGCTTACACATAATCTGCATATTGCAGTGAGGGGTGTTTTATGGTTATTAATTCTTGAGAGAACATTGTTGGCGTAAGCTCTATGATAGATGAAAAGCAAGTGCTTAGGTTTTAGCTTCAGTGTGTGTGTATGCTCTCAGTGGATTTTCCATTGGTTCAGTAGCCAACACAGTTAAATTTGAATTATGTTTTGATTATTGTTGTTGCTCTAATATATTTAGTTTTTATATCTGTTATAAATTTCTTGCAGTCTGATTTGACTTTAAAGAAGGGTGGTTGCAAGGAAGTCCGGTTTCACTGTAAAACTGTAAGTTTCTCTTTTACTCTCCCTTCAGAGTTTTTGCAGTACTTGATTCTTACTGTCAATGAAGGGTAATAATTTACTCTTTGAAGATAATGACTTTTGATTACCAGAATGCTTTACTTGTAATTTACTATCTGGTTTCCTTGTTTTGCTTCATTTTTCCTGCTTTGTCACTGGAGTTTATATGTTTGCAGTTTTGCACTTAGAGCTTCTACATTCTTGGCCTCTGTCTTGTAGGCTATACCTTAAGAAACTAATGTACACTGAAATGAATGAAACACAGTTGAAAGAAGTGCATTTTTGAGTTCATGATGATTATGATCATCATCTGAATTGGTTTTCATATACACCTTCATATTGTGTTTGATATAGGAACAAAAGGATCTGAAGACTAAAGCAGATACAATTAAGAGAATGATGGACAAAGGATATCGGGTTAAGGTATTTGATTAATCACCAACAATTCTATTTTGTGATATTCCTTCATATATTACCCCATGTGAGCTTTATTAACCTGATAGCCAACTAAACATGTTTTTACTTGGACTGCTTTACGTCCCAGACCAGACCAGACTTGGATAATTATAAAATACACACCAAACATTTACTAGACCAGATCAGACCATAAAATTTCAGTCCAAGTGAAAACATCATAAGCCAAAAGAAATCCCCTTGCATGATCGATTTTTCACCCACAGGCTTATAGACTTTTGCCTTATTTTCTTTCCGTTGTCGAGCAGTGTATGGCAGTGGGCAGTGGTTCTGAGAATGAGAAACTGGGAGAGGTGCTGGCACATTTTTCTTCCCTGGTAAGAATATTAGTTTCGCTGAGTATATATTTGGGTATTAGAACGTGGTAGGAATGAGTTTCGGAGGCGGGGGTACCAAAGAGAGTTAGTTGCTTCTGTTTGGTTCTACATAGGGAAACCTAAAAAAATGAAACATGATTGTAATATCTTGTTCATGTTTTATACGTAGTACTATGTATAAAATAAGTCGATAAAATGAAATTTAGCAAGTGCCATTTTTAAGTTTTCACCAGTGTTTTATTTCACCCCGACATTTTATTTCCTTCAAAATTCCCCTTATGCTCTTTCTCCAAAGTTAAATTTGTGTGCTTTGCCACAGATAGAAGATGTTGGGTTAATAGAGAGCGGTCCCCATGTGGAAAAGAAGCAGGCATATATTGTCATCAGGCATGCCAAGTTTGGGCCATTAAAGAAGGGTTCACAAAAGAAGACAGCTGCCTCTAAGGTTGGCCTTACACTTTCAGCTATTGATGACGATCAAGAATGTGGAGTGGAGGATACTGAAGCTGTTGGGGATGAAGATGGCAGCATTACAGAAGATTTGACTGATGAAGACGTGGAAGATACGTTTGACAGGAGGGCTTTCGATGAGGGTAGAACCGTCATTAACCAGCCAGTGGAGAGAGAAAATAATAGGTACAGACGAGAATCACCACCACCACCCCTACCAGTGACTGCATCTTCATCACCTGCGGCGGAGAGAGAAAATAGGTACAAACGAGAATCACCACCACCACCAGTGACTGCATCTTTATCGCCTGCAGCGGAGAGAGAAAATAGGTACAGACGAGAACCGCCACCACCACCAGTGACTGCATCTTCATCACCTGCAGTAGAAAATAGGTACAGACGAGAACCTCCACCTCCACCGCCACCACCAGTGACTGCATCTTCATCACCTGCAGTAGAAAATAGGTACCAAAGGGAGACCACGCCACCACCAGTGACTGCATCTTCATCACCTGCAGTCGAAAATAGGTACAGAAGGGAGACCACTCTGCCGCCGCCGCCACCGTCATGGCGGGCAGCACCTTCTGTTGCGGGAGAAAATAGGACTAATTATAACAGAAGAGAACCACCACCACTGCCACCCCCACCCCCACAATTTAAAATGAATCCTTCCCTGCATCCACCTCCAAGAAGCTCATCAGATTCCAATTTCTTGAATACTAATAATAGGTCTTCTCCATCAGGTGGTACTCATAGTAGATCTCCCCCCTCAGATTATAGTACCTTCAATATCCCAAAAGCTGAAAATGCTCCTGCAGAAGGGAATGTAGCAGGAGTTTATAATAGATACAAGAAAGAAAATAGGGGTAGTTCTGCAAGATATTCAACGGACCCTTAAAAGGCAGGGAAAGTGATTACACTTATTTGTTAACTGTGGAAACTCAACAATGGATTGCTGAGGTCTCTTCCATTTGAGAAGATCAGAAAATGCGGTTTAGAAATTTGTTAATAATTGATTCTCTTCTCATGTCCTAAAATAATTGTGCCGCTTATACTACATTGATTTACGCATTGATTTGTATTGATGTACTTGCTGCTTCATTTTATTTGCGTTTCACAATTTTATCTTTTCTTGAAGTCTCGCTTCTGCATAATGAGATGCTGGAATGCTGGATATCTGCTTTGTCACAGTTAAAAAATAATCCCTAAGAAATCATTTTGAGTAGCGAAGTTTAATTTCATTACATGCGTGGTCCAAATGTACTGTCCATAGTGATGGACCTGGGCCGGGCCCCGGTGGTACTAGTATACTGGTACTAGAAAATTGGAGCACGGTACCAGCCCGATATGCTTTGGGACCGGACCGGGCCCAAACAGTATCAGGCCCGGATCGGTACCACCCATTTATTTATTTTGAAAAATTGCAGTTGGGCCCGGACCGGGCACAAAAAATCGAGCCCTATGCCTGCCCCTTATAACCATTGGTCCGGGTATCGGGTCGGTACGGGGCCCCGGAAAACCGGACCGAGCCTAAACAGTACTAGTGTTTCAAATTTAGAGATGCTTGCGGTTCCTCGAATCCCAAGTAATTGCACCTGTAGTGGGGCGTGTGGGGTGTAAAAAGATTTGAGATGTTTTTGATTGAATTTGTTTCAGTCCCACATTACTCTCATACCCGATTAAAATAGATTAAGCTTAGACCATAATAAAATAGAGCAATCATCTAATACAACCGGTCGGACCGAAAGTGCTGTACGACCAAGCCCATTTGAGTTGCTCTCGGTTAGAATTTTTTAATGAAATTTTATGAGCATGTTTATCGTAGATTCCCTCCCCAAAGTTTCAACTTAAAATTCAACCGGGAAGTCGATTAAATAAATTATTGAAAAACACAACACAAAAATATGCATACAATAGTGTTTTCAATAATTTATTTAAACTGATTTTCCAATTGAATCTTAAACTGAATTTTTGTGGACACAATCTACATTTCATGATGAACATGCTCACAAATTTCCATACAAAATTCTACTCGAAAGCACCTCAAATGAGCATGGCCGTACAACACTTCTGGTCACTCGTCACTCACTCCGGTCATATGAGAATATTCTTCTAGAAAAACATGCGTACATCAGTTACCAGATTAAATCAAATTAAATTTAAATAAGTCAGAATGGAATGCATTTAAACAGACACAATTAGCAATGTCTCAAATCTCACAACTTATGTGCAGTGAGGGGGTCTCGGCCCTCGGGTTTGGCCAGCAACCAATAGGTGGCGATGGTGGTCAACATCGGCAAAAGACAACAAAGATGTCAACCGGAGATGGTGGACGCCATAGGTGATGTTGGCGGTGAAGATAACAACCACTCCAGGTGGTACCGTGGTAGTAAGTGAAGGTTGTCATAAATGACAATGGTTGGCTATGAGCCTATGAATGGCAGTACTAAATAAAAAATTGATAGATCAAAACTGATTGGCAAATCAATCAGAACTGGATCAAGAAATCCAAAACAAGCTATTATATGCATTTTGCTTTACAATTTATGATTATTCTTAACAAACTGATTGAACCGAAAAAACTAAGGAATACATGCTCAAGCCGATCAAAATGGATGAGAAACCAATTGAAAACAACTAAATCAAACTGATATAAGTTATTTGGTTCAATTATGGTTCCACTTTTTCAATACTAAACATAAATTGACAAAATGAGACCAACAATACACCAAGTGGTGGTGATCGGCGATGGTGCCAACCATTGGTATGACAGAAGACGGTGCCGGGAGACCGCAGTTATGGTGGATGGCAGTGGTAGAGGTCACAGAGCGGAAACTTTAGGATGGCAGCACTAGTAACGGCGCCAACCACACGGTTGTGGCAGTTGGACGGTGGTGCCGATGATGGTAGCGGGAGCAAGAAAATTGAATTTGCACATAAGTTTTTAAAAATGTGCTCCAAATAGAACTAAAATCTAGACAAAATACACAAATAGGAGTGCTTATGTTTATTTTTCAAATAAAACTAGCTTCATCCTATTAAAAATATAATACTTTCTCAATTAGAAGTGTATTAGAAGTGTATTTTAGGAAGAAAGTAATGCGCTCCTATATGTGCACTTTATCTATATTTTGATCCCATTTAAGGAATTTTCTTTGATTTTTACTCCAATTGCTTCTACACCCATTATAAATCTTTTGAGCTTGCACCCCTTAACCCCACAATTGAGTTACTTTTGTTGGACTTTGCACCTTATGCTTAAATTAAACATTTGAGTCTGCAGCCATTTTTAGGCCTTTAGGGTGCGAATTCAAAAGATTGTAGAGAATAATTTAGCAAAGTACACTTGCAAAGTAAACATAAGACACTTACAATTAAATTAATTTTTGAAGCAGTAAAGGAACAACAGCACTTTCGGATTACAACATATAATTTTCCTGGTCAAAATATACCAGAACAGGAATGCTAAAGAACCCCGTAATAAGATATTCAAGGCTAGAAAGTGATCTATTTAACACAATCATGAGCTAGATATGGAGTCAATAACCTTCAAAATAAGTTATTTACGTGGACTGGTGGCAAAAGCATTCTCTTGCTTTCCTGCTATTTACTAAAACATGAAGTATTTGTATTTTATTATTAACTCGGTATATATTATAATAGTATCACTGCCATTGTTCACAGAACTTGGGAGCCTCCAAGAGACAGATTGGATAACTTGCACCAGAAGAAAGTAATCAATCTCTTTTATCTTTCCATCTCAATGGCCTTTTTAATTAACACGAATAATCTCTTATTAATAAGGATGCTTGCCTGGCCAGTTGTCTCTGTAGTCCAGTTTGCCCCACAACTGAAACAGACTGATGGGCTTCATTGCCCTTTTCTGTGTATCTTACATTGCAATGTTTTTGGTTATGATATTGCATCCTACTTCAAAGAAGACGACAGCTGAAGAGAATGAGATCATAGAGGTGAAGCAACCAGCTCCTCCACATTCTGTGTCATCCTCCACCGATCCCTCCGTTTTTGAGCGTGAGTTCATCACTCCCAGAAATCCAATAGGATATCAGTCTATCCAGAATTATCCTTAAACAGGACACATTTACTTCAAAAACTATTTGTACTGCTAACTAATACCCTTAGTGATATATAAATTCTGCGTATTAGCCCCCCCCCCCCCCATAGCGGAGAATTTGATATACCATCGGAAAACAGCACGAAGACTATGATTTCTGGATTAATCTAACAAGAAAATTTTGACAAATTAATAGATTTGAAGGAGATTGGTTCGCTGGTTGAGGCTGGAGGATATGAAGGAGAAGTCAGGAAGATTGCAAGGGCATTAAGGTTAACGATGGGATTAAGGAAGAAGCTTAATGCTTCTGTGGTGTCTTCCTTCCTGAATTATGCCCTAACAACACCTGCTGGATCAGAACTTCACGCTCAGCTAGCTGCTTACCTGATGCCACTTATTTTGTTGAATGTATCTTAACACTTACGTAGTACTTTTTAAGTAATTAATGTTCTAAAATTTGCCTTAATAACAACATTAATGCCTTACAATGCCCGATAAATTGATAGGAAGATGAGGCTGATATGGAAGTCGACACTACAAAGCAACTTGTGTCCGAGCTTGAGATTTATTGCTACTTACTTGTTCTTATACATCTGATTGATCAGGGGAAGTACGATGAGGTTTGTTGAATTCTTCAAATCGTTCATTTAAAAAAAACCATGTAAATTGCTATCCTAAAGTTGTTTTCCTTGGCAGGCAAAGGCTTGTTCTTTAGCAAGCATTACTCGCCTTAAGACCTTAAACTTGAAGACTGTTGATGTTATTGCTTCTAAGATCTACTACTACTATTCTTTGACCTATGAACGTACCGGTCATCTTTCTGATATTCGAGGGTATGTACCTTTAGGTCCATATTTCCTAAATGTAAACTTAATACTGAAAATATATGCGATTATATATTACATTGTGAGCGGGAAATGTACATTTTCTTTTTTCCCATCTTTCAACCACCTAGGTTCTACTACGCTTTTCTTATCCATTTTTTTTACAGTAACCTCCTTACTTTGCACCGAATTGCAACACATAGACGCGCTGAGCTCGGTCAGGTTTGTTGTATAGAATCCAACTCTTGATTCTATTATTGAAAATTTTCTATTTTTTGTACTTGATGTGATGACTGGTGTAGGAAATGCTTCTTAACCTGGTACTTAGGAATTACCTTCACTACAACCTGTATGATCAAGCGGAGAAATTTAGATCAAAGGCACCCTGTTTCCAAGCTAAATCAAACCATCAGGCAACTCGCTAACTACACTTTTTTCTCACTATGACAAGATTCTGTTTGTCTATAAATGGACTCACTCAGCTTTGTGTTACTTTTCTTTGTTTTCCAGTTTTGTAGGTACCTTTTCTATCTTGGAAAGATAAGGACTATTCAGTTGGAATATACAGACGCTAAAGAGTATCTCTATCAAGCTGCCCAAAAGGCACCAGTTTCTGCACTTGGGTTCTTAGTCCAATGCAATAAGTGGGCCATAATGGTTCACCTATTGCTTGGTGAAATCCCTAAAAGGACCGTTTTTATGCAAAAGGGGATGGACAAAGCACTAAGGGCGTATTTTGAGTTAACAAATGTATGTACCAAAAATCAAATTTGCAAATGTCAAACGATTCATTTATACATGTTGGGTATAACAAGGCGTGGACCCGGTCTTGGATCTAGAACCAGACCTGAGCTGGTCAGTAATTCATCTGAAAACCGGGGAACCAGTCCAAGTCCGGCCCTGCTCCCATAACTGCAAAATAGGACTAGACAGAACAGTTCCAATGATATTTTAAATAGACAACTCAAACCGGTATACTCGGTTAAGGTTTCAGTTCCCCCATTTCAGGGACCCGAAAACCAGCAAGACTGGATTCAAAACCGGAAGAGTCCACCACCAGGTACAACTTATAACTAATAAAATGTATTTTTTTTTATTTCAGGCTGTTCGCATTGGGGATTTTGAGTTATTTAAAACTGTCAGTGTGAAGTTCTCAAGCACTTTCAGTGAGGATGGGACAAAAAACTTGATTGCTAGGCTCCGGCATAATGTCATCAGGACCGGGTTACGAAATATTAGTATCTCATACTCTCGAATCTCATTGGTCGATGTGGCAAAAAAACTAAGCTTGGATTTTGAAAATCCCATTGTTGATGTTGGAAGTATAATAGCGAAAGCTGTTAGGGATGGCACAATTGATGCCACATTGGATCATGCTAATGGAATCATGATATGTAAAGGGAAAGGAGACGTATATTCTACAAATGAACCTCATATTGCTTTTAATTCTAGAATCAGTTTCTGCCTTAACATGTACAATGAAGCAGTCTGCGCTCTTCGTTTCCCGCCTAATCCCACCCACAATGAGATAGAGAGAAATCAAGAAGGGTATTCAAGTGTTGCACCACCTTGTTAGGCTAAAGGATATTCCCGTTTTCATGGATTGGTATAGATACACAACTCCATTTTTGAAACTTCATAATTTGTTGTATACTTCGAAAATACATTTATTACTCTCTTTTTTCATACTTCTATACTCAATTACTATGATGCAGTTTCTTAGTTTAATATAGTTATGTTTGTTCTCTCAAAAGCTATTAAATAAAAATTAAACAAGTAAATTACATACGGAACTATCAGATTCAAACTCTTTTATCTATATATTTTATATTTTAACAAATGGATGGTAGTATTTTTTGGCTCATTCATTGCCAGTTTTTGTTTCTTGTTTTTATAAACTAAAAGCAGGAAAATAAGATTTAGATACTTTGTTGGTAGTTTTCAAAACTTACATGATTAGTGTGACTACATTTTGGTTCAAGACGCAATCTTTACATGTAACATGCCAGTAAAAAAACAACGACTAGCAATCATACCAAACGCGGCCTTAGCAGCCTATTGTAGACTTGTATTATCACAATATCACTCAGGGATTCTTTCCTCCATATTAATACTAAACTACATTCGAAGGAATGACCAATGACGTCATTGCGGGATCAAATGCAAACTTCAACTAGAATGCAACATAAATTTTCAGATTTCAGACTGGTGTATTTACATACGGAACTTAAACCAACTCTCGCCCTGTACTAGTGTACTATTTTAAATTACGGTAGAGGAACTCCTGAAAAATCTAACCCTACCAAACAAGTCCTGCATGAAGGTGATGAAACAACCACCAAACTATCTGAAATGTATGTCAACTTCCATTGAAATGAAGTATGTGAAAAATCAAACCCTACCAAACAAGTCCTGCATGAAGGTGACGAAACCACCACCAAATCTATCTGAAATGTATGTCAACTTCCATTGAAATGAAGTATGAATAAAGAGTGGGCAGGGGAGGGGTAGCATACAAGATAAAGTTTCGCGTTAAATATAATAGAAGCGGGCACGAGATTCAATGTAACTTGATCAATGCAAAGCTCTTTGGACCATCCCCACAAAATAAAATGGAAATAACAATGTGCAGTGATCACAAATGACCCTTTTACTGTTGATCAATCAAGCAGAGGTCAAACCAAATGACTTGACAATAGTACTGACACTCTCAGCAAAGGTTCTGGATGTTATTTTCTTACCGGGAACGTGAAATGGGTTTGAAACCGCATCCACATATGCGGCATGAAATCTCCTGAAAAACTGCAGGTGATTTCACCCATAAAATAGAGTAAGCAAACACATGGCATGTTCTAAACAACCAACAAGAAGAAATGATGTTAGAACCAGGAAGAGATATAGCAAGCAACTCTCTCAAGAACGTAATGAATGGATCTACAGTCCAAGATGCACTATAGAACCACCTTTTGTATACGTTCTCTTCATTGCACAAAGAGGACCGTAGTTGTCAATGGCGCTCACCATAATGCACCAAATGGCGACATGAAGAGCCCTTGCCACAAAAGTGTCATGGCGGTGAGTGTACATGTGAGGGTGCCATATGGGCGCCATCGCAATAGCCGTTTCATGTGCGCCACTTGTTAGGAGCAGATACATGTTCATTTAATTAATTTTGGGCTTTGGCCCTGATTATTAAGTAACCAGCCAGCCCACTCATAATGAATAAATGATAGGGACCTACCTATTATACTAATAATTAGAAGTAATAATAATAATATTAGTAATAGGGGTCTCTATTATAAATAGACGGTAAGGGGGAGTAGTAAGGAGGCTTTTGGGAACTTTGGTCTGGGAACTGGGAAGATTAGAGACTGACGATCTCTTCTCTTTGGGAGGCTTCGGCCTTTGTTACTGTTTCTCTCTGTAACCATCTTCTTCTTCAATAAAGGTTTTACAGTTTGCTTCTTGATATAATTTCTGCAATTGTTCTTGAATTTCTGGAGGATCTTATCATTGGTATCAGAGCCCTCGCTCCTGGAGTCCTAACATCTTTATCGTGGAAGAGGAAAATTGATTGTCGCGATGCTGAGACATGAACGAACCAAGAGGATCGCTGAGCGGACCAGAGAACAACGACGATCAGGACGGGACGCCTTTGGTTCGCACGGACTTCTGGAGAAGCGTTCGAACCGAGAGAAGCGTTCGAACCTGGAGAGGAGGACGGCTTTGGCAAACCTAGCGACCACGCTGACTCAACAGATTCAGAGCACCACTGCGGCAATTATGGCAGACATCGCAGCATCTAGAGCTGCGATGAAGGAAGAAGTTCGCAGATATCACGAATCAAATGATCGGCCTACTGCGTATCCCAGTTTGTCGCCAAATGTGCAGGTTTTTTCTCCTCACCCATCAACAGCGCAAACCAGTTCTCCCAGATCGCAATCGATAACCGATCATCATCCTGGAACATCATCGGAAGGGATTTCTAGCAGCTCGCAGATGGCCTCTCAAGCCGCGTCTCACAGCGCACTAACTTCATCACCAGCAGATTATCTCACTTCGCAAGCTTCACAGCTCGGTTTGGAATTCCTTAATCAGCCACAACCTGTCAATGAAGATACCTGCAGCAATGAAGATGAAGGACGAGAAGAGAAAACTTATGTGATGACTCAATCCGCGACTGCCCTGGAATATGAGTTTGTTGATGACAAAACTGCGGGTTCTGAATTGGAGAAACAAGTGGTTTCTGACTCAACATTGCGGATGACAAAATATGAGTATGTTAACCTGCTGCAACCTTCGTCTGCTGATGATAGTAGTGCTTCTCAATTCGGAGAAAATGCAGAGAAGTTCACTGAAGGCGATAATGAAAATGAGGAGAAATTGTCAGCTGTGGCTGGACCTGAAATTGGCGCAACTGCAGCTCCTATTTCTCTTGGATGCCCAGCATCTGATGCTTCTAAAGGTTCTAGGGAATTCTTCAACCCGGTTATTGGTAGAGTTCTTGAACTTGGATTGGGTGTTCTAACGGATATTAGGTACCCTTGTTTACTACACAATAGACTGGAATGTCTGAATAAGATGGATGGTTTCAGATTTGATGATGTTGATCAACACAAGAAATCTATATTGGAGCAGTACCATGATCTTGCAAAGAGTGTACATAGATCTCCTATTGTGCAGAATGGTTTGCTTAACAAAGTTATAAATCTTGTTGAAGCACCTATGTCAGTACTGGGAAGAGTTAAGAACACCTTCCTAAAGTTTCCTAAAGCATTACTAATAATGGTCAGGCATAATCACCAGAATTACTTTGCAGTGACTAATGAGAATGGGGATTGGCTGCCAAACTTCATTACTGTTGATGGAGGGATTAATGAAATGACAGGGATAGAAGGAAATAAAGCTGTAATCAGAATGGGAATCCACAGAATTGGGACTGACGCAGATAGTGTTGAAGGAGTTGACTCTGAATTCTCAAGCACTAAATGTTGTTTAGTTTCAGTGTTGTATCACACTGGCAAAGAGGTTCAGGGCATGAACATAAGTTCTGCTAATGGTGTAGGTGAAACACCTCAGGAAGATAAGGAAATAATTGTGGTTATTGAAGGCCTGAAGACTAAGGAAGAAAATGAAAATTCATCAGAGATACTATATGCTGCAGTAACATCTGTGACTTGGAAGAACCAAGTATGGAAGCTATTTTCTCAGAAATCAGTTAGATATTGGGAAGGAAGAGGTTCAAGGAAGAAGCAGAAGCAGAAAATCTTGGCTGTCTCCTACCACCCACCTTGAGGGCAAGGTGGATGTTTAGGGAGGGAGTATTGATAGGGACCTACCTATTATACTAATAATTAGAAGTAATAATAATAATATTAGTAATAGGGGTCTCTATTATAAAAAGACGGTAAGGGGGAGTAGTAAGGAGGCTTTTGGGAACTTTGGTCTGGGAACTGGGAAGATTAGAGACTGACGATCTCTTCTCTTTGGGAGGCTTCGGCCTTTGTTACTGTTTCTCTCTGTAACCATCTTCTTCTTCAATAAAGGTTTTACAGTTTGCTTCTTGATATAATTTCTGCAATTGTTCTTGAATTTCTGGAGGATCTTATCAATAAAACCCCCCAGTAACCCAAGTAAATAGAGACCAGCTAATGTAAATCCAGTGCGAGAGAAGCTGCACAAGTATAACACTATAACTCCATTAAAGAGGATAAATTTCAAAACAAATTTTAGTTGTGACTTCTGAGTAAACTTCAAAAAAAGTTAAAATGAACTTTAAAACAAACTTCAAAACCCTCTCTATCTACTTGCCCTTCAAGTATACAAACTACCTGCTAAATAACACATTAATCATAGAATGTGGTTGTTTTCCAATATTATGTTATTTTTGGAACTATTTTAATTATTTCAACTTCACATATTTTGGTTAAAATGTGGTTATTAAACTCTTTTGCTTATTTTTTGGTTGTTGAACTATAGATCCAGTGTCTATAAATCATATTTTTAGTATTTATTTTATGTGTCATGTAGTGACGCCATAAATGTGCCGTCGTGATTGCCAGGGACAAATGCCTTGGCGCCATGGCAACTATGAAAAGGATCCTAGAGACTGATTCTTTGACAAAAAAATTACTTTTTTCTTCTTGACCAGTCAGAAAGAAGGTAGGCAACATTAAAGTCTGCTACAAACAAGTGGTACTAGACCTTTTTTATTTAAAACATAGGTCAGTTAGTAAAAAGGTATGCAATGCATGAGTGTAAAGGTAATGTTTCAATTGACACAGTAAACTAGTATAAACAACAGAGGCCCGGACAAGTAAGACTTACATTTCTCACATCTGCATCTCGGACATCGAGATCTGTTGTCACTAATATGAACTTCACCTTTGTGTTGGTCAAATAACCATACCTGAATCAATCATGGCATGAGCCAACTGATTATTTGATTAAATCATGACACACGGTGCATTAAAGAGTAGCCTATACCCATTGTGTGGTCATTGTTATTGTTGGTGTTGCTAATCAATAGTGTTCCTTCCCAATTATTTGGCAGATAGAAAAAGAAATAATAAACGGAGAATCAACTGACTTCTCTGCAACCCTAACAAAATCACACGTAGCAAGGAAAACATGAACACTCACACTTTGTAATTCTCTGTTGGGTATAGCAGACCGAGAAATGTCTCATTCAATGCAGGGCTAGTTTTTTTGGGATTATTCACTGCATTGGAAAAGCATACATCATTTAATTAGTGATAAAAATATTATGGGAGTATGAAGCATTACCAGCACTCTAGTTTTGAGCATAAATGCATATTGTATCTTAACTAATACACCCTTTATTCCTGTTTATCCCTCTAGGTGGACCAAATCACATGTTTTAAGAACATGCATCAAGATGATAAAATAATCATACTTTTAATGTTTTACCAAAAAAAACTTATTTAAAGCAACCCTACCAATAATATGCTTCAAGGAAAAGGGTAAATTGAATTGTGTAATTAAATTGGAGAAAAGTGATGTAATAAGCATAGATTTCATAAATGGACAGATAAGAATAATTCAAATCGGTCAATCTAGATAGACAAATAGGAACACTGGGAGTAATAAGTTGAAACTATTCCTCAATGAGGAGAGGTCCTAATCTTTAGCTTTCCAATGATAGCAGCAAGGCAGCTAATATTTTGTATCCTCACCACTTGGCATACAGCATAAGCTTCTAATCCGAATAACAGATCATTCTGTTTGCATTTCTCTTTAGTCTTTAAAGTTGTGTAGTTGGAATTAATCAGATTCTGTGTAGGCAAGGCAGTGATGAACTGTGATTTAATTTCCAGTTTCATAAATTCATGCACATACACTATGTTGCACGGAAACACGAAAATCATGTGGAAACGGGAAAAATCAATCTTTGCTCAAAAAAGGCTTGTTTGGAGAGTTTCCAAAGAGTTTGCGTAGAGTTTCCGAAATGGAAACGTTCTCTTTCCCGAGAGTTTCCGTTTATACTAGTTTACTGTGTCAATTGAAACATTACCTAACCGAATCTACAATTAACTCCATCAAGTTGGTATGGTATACAGCTATGGAACAGCATAGTAAAGTAATTGGTGCAGGTTTGCGGATAATGGAATTAAAGTCTGAACAGGTAACCTCTTTCATCAACAACGTCAAGAGAGCAGTGGACTATGTGATGAAGCTTTAGGGCGTCATCAGCTTCCGTGAAGCTCTGTATATACAGTGGATTGTTCTGTCCAATGAGGAAAAACAATAATCAACAAATTTTTTGCAATGGTTCTGATCAGTTAAATACACCATACGAAAGAGGAAACAACCATATCTAAGACGGCATACTACCTGGTGCCCGACGACGGCAACACAGACAATCATCTTTGATTATCCGATCACTTATGCTGAGAGGAGCATCAAAATGCAAATCACAGCAGAAAAACATAAAACACAAGTAGTGATGTGGACATTTCCGCGAAGACAGAGCATACCTGAGCAGGATGAATGAAGGTGATATCTGATTCGAGATCCAATTGGGCTTTTTTTCGCTCCAACTCTCCAAGAGATCCAATTACTCCACTTTAGGCTTTAGCTATCATATCTAGTCATGGACCCGGTCCGGTCCGACCGGCCCGGCCCGGACTGACCCGGCCCGGCCCGGCCCGTGAAACCGGTTCCGGTTTTGGTACACCAAAATGGCGAACCGGCCTGGCCTGTTTGGGCCTGTTTTTTTAGGTTTGGGCTGGGTTTAGGTGGGCTGGGTAATTCCAGGGGGTAGGGGTTGAAATAAATAAGAATACAACAAAAGAAAAAAACGGAACCGGCCTGGTCCAGAACCGGCAGCCTCCCGGCCCGGTCCCCGGCCTTACCCATAACCTCCAGGCCCGAACTGGAACCGGACCGGGCCCGGTCAACCACTAATCATATCCTTCTTGAAATAATAAATGACACAAATTAGAATAGTTTGAAATTTAACAAGTGTGATTTGATCTAGTTTAATCTGTTTAAATGCAGTCTGATCTAAAATAATCTTATCTAGTAAATGTTTGATCTTTATACTTCCCCCCTCCCGCAAAGAAGTTCACGGTTTGACCTACACACATATTAAGGAAATAAACTTACCGAGGGTAAATTTTACTGTTTTGACATTGTTTCAACACTGTTTGACACTGTTTGACACTATTTGACAGTGTTTTGCACTGTCTTGATGTAGAAAACTTGCCATTTGAAGAAAAGGGAGCTTCTTTTTTAGACTGCTAAAAAAGGAAAGTGGGAACATCTTTGCGGGATGGAGAGAGTATATTTTGTAGTTTTCGAATTTTGAGATCTAGTCTGTTTATATTTGACCGGATCTAATTAAGTTTGATTTGTTTTGATCTGAGACTGAACTAATTCAAAGTAAGACATCCAAAATTCCTAATGACTCGTGTGGTGTAAGAGTAAAATAAATTTGTCAAAATATCAATTAGTTTCATGAGTAATTTCTGCATACCTTGTATAATGATCGAACACTTTTTTCGTTTTTTTTTAATTTTTGCTAAAATTGATTGACATGATAAATAATAAAGTAAAATATGCGTGATTGAAATTTAAACTATACATTTTAAGTTTTAACGTTTTCATAATTAAGATGATACTAATTACTTATTCACAATGGAAAGTAAGTTACTATGTTTGGCCGTCTAAAGGTAGATGTCCCGGATGATCTCTTGGATCATCTTTTTCATCGAATACAACTCATTCTTGCCTTAGCTTCCAAATTTAGTTTTATTCCTCACTCATCTATATTTCATATTTTTTCATTTCTTTCTAATTGTAAGTTGACAAGTTTGCAGTGCTTATAATTTTTCTTAAATGTTATTATTATAATTTTTATTTTACTTGTGGAGAACACAAGTAGGACTTAATAAATTAAACACAAGAGTTCTCGGTAACAATTAAACTATACTAAACAAGTTATTAGTGTAAATTATTTTAGCACAATCTAAAAGAAAATATTGATGTATCAGCAAGTTAATTTATGGATTAGCTAAGTATGATTTTATACCAGTTTTTGTGAATTTTCTAGAAAATTCTCAAATATAAAAGTTTTTTTTATTAATTTCTTTCTAATTGATGAATAAAATAAAATTAAGTAATTACCGAAATTATGTAGTTGAGTACAAATATATAAAAAGTTTTGACATTGATAGGAATTTTTATTTTGAAAACAACAAAACAAAAGGATTACTTGTTAAAAGGATGGAGTTGCAGTCATTTTATAATAAAAGATAGAGTATATGATAAATAAGCGAATTTTAAAAAATATAGTTAGCTAATTCGTATCTTCTTTTATTTATAAATCCCTCGACTTTTTTTATGACCAAAAGTGCTTGAACATGTTTTTTCTAAATTAATAGAAAACACCTCCTTAAATCTTTGAAAACGTTTGACAAGATGCGAAATAACAATTATTATACCGGAATATGGTTTTAAGCATTTTTGGAAGCTCCGCATGAAACATGTATTAAAATAATAGTGAGTTTTATTATTTATTTATTTCTCTTATTGTTAAAAACTATAATAACTTTTTCATTTGTGATATGTTTTTTTTTATAAAATTTATATCAATTTTTTTTATTTTTCATGATCTTTCAAATGAGACCAATATTGCCTATGTAATTTTAACATATTATCGAACTATTATATTAACCTATTATATTAACGTATTTTTTTTTATATTTTACGTGTAGAAATATGTAACTCACGTCCAGTCAGGCGAAATGCAACTCGTGTGTATAAATATGTAATTCTACATGTAAAAATATGTAACTTTACGTGTAAAAATATGTAACTCGCGTTCAGACAGGTCAAATACAACTCGCGTGTATAAATATGTAACTTTACGTGTAACGATATGTAACTTTAAGTGTAAAAATATGTAACTCGCGTTCAGGCAGGCCAAGTACAACTCGTGTGCATAAATATGTAACTTTACGTGTACAAATATGCAACTTTACGTATGAAAATATGTAACTCACATGTATAAATACATAATAAAATAAATTTTTTATATACACAATTTCAAGATAAATTGTGATTTACACAACTATTTTTCTGTATTAAATTTAGTTCAATTTTCCTTATAATCCAATACTCATTAATATAATGGTTCGATAATTTCTTAAAATTACATAAGCAATACTGGTATCATTTGAAAGATCATGAAAAATAAAAAATGTTGATATAAAATTTATAAAAAACGGATCAAAAATAAAAAAGTTATTACCATTTTTTAAAAACAAAAAGAATAAAAAATAAAGATCACCGTATACCCGTCATACCGTATAATTTGCGGCGAAATAATTATTTTACATAAAAAGACAAAAATGTTAGTAATTTAGGTCATTTTATTTAAATATTTAATATAAATTGTAGGACAAAGCATGTATGTATATCATTATACGCCGTACTATTTTACGGGATCATATTTAAACATCATTTTAGATGCTTTAAAATATCTTCATACTAAGTTCAAAGTTTTGAATATTTTATATGCTTTTTACAAGAGAAACGTATTTTAAAAATAATTATTTTCTTTTGATTTACTTCCACTAAACTTTCATTTTTCCAGGCTTCTGCCAGTTCTCCTCCATTCTCACCTGCTTTCTTTTGAACCAAGCGAGGGCAAAGGATCTCAGTTCAGCTCCCCTTATTCATCCTCTTGGAATTCCGTGAGGCGCTTCTCATTATAAATTGTTTGACAAAGAAATCATCTTTTTTCATAAGAAGAAGCTGCGGCGTGAACGATAGTAGTTATTGGAGAGGGAGATTACCGTAGAAGATTCCGGAGGACCGTCGTGAAGTCCTATCCCATACACAAGCTCTTCATTTATTTCCTATTTCTATTTCATTGAAGCTCAACCATCATTCTCGGTGCATAGAATATATAATTTCATTGAAACATTCAATTTGTTCTGGTGCTTTCTCCGTGTCAGAAGGTATGAATGCTCTCCGATTCCGAAGGTTATATGTATACTTTGTCCTTTTCCTTTAATTGTAACTAATCTGACACATTATAAATTGAGATGCGAGTATAATAATATGAATGGCGTATTAGTTATGTGATATTTGTTGGTCCATAGCTGGGTGTTGAGAAATATATTGGTCCTACATACTTGGATGAGCTGTTTTCATCTTGTTTGTGTTGCTTAGAAGCTTCAGAGATGCTTCAACTCTTCCTTGATAATGCAGAGTTCCTATGACATTTTAGCTCTAAGTTCAAATAAACTCTAAAAGCTTTGAGAATTTGTTATTTGGATATGCATACAGAAAAAAAATAGTTTATTTGACATGTAGTTGAAATGAGTTTTTGATTCAGTATTCTCATGCTTTTGTTAGATGGAAGCTGGAGGGAGCCAGGATGCTTCCTTTGTTGATGGACCTGCAATGACCAGCAAGGACAATTCTGGATTGCAACAGGACGATTCTGTTTCCTGTGAGCAAAACTCTGATCCCAACAGGAGATATACATGCAACCCAGATGATGTTCTCAGGAATGTAAAAGAGGTTTCATATATCTTCAGACAAGATGTTGTGAAAAGTAAAGCTGATGGCAAAATAGGGATAGTGACTGAAGCTGCTGGTGACTCGGATTCAGATAGTGCAATTAGTGATGATGAATATGAGGAAGAGGAAGACGATGCTGAAAAAGAAGATAGTGATGGCATTAAGGATGCTGAAGGAAAACCGGACAACAGTGAAAAAACTGAGGGGTGCCCTGGTGAGAATACAGGCAGTGACCACAAAAGTGATCGTCTTTTAGCTGATCAAGTTAGAGTCCTTTGGTTGGATGAGACTGAGTCAGTTATGTCTATTGTTGATGTCACAGTTATTGATAGAGGATTTCTACCGGGGGATTATGTTTCTGCTGCTGCCAATCCAATAAGCCAAGTTGGTCTCGTGGTTGATGTTAATATTTCTGTTGACTTATTAAGCCACGACGGCTCTTTTCTCAAAGGCATATCAACCAGAGAGTTGAAACGTGTTAGGGAGTTTGCAGTTGGTGACTACATTGTTCATGGTACCTGGCTTGGTAGAATTGATGATGTTTTAGACAATGTGACTGTCATGTTTGATGATGGTTCTCAGTGTAAGGCTACGAAGGCTGATCCGTTACGTCTCAAACCTGTTGGCAGGAATAGCCTCGAAGATGGGAGTTTTCCTTATTACCCAGGTCAGCGTGTCAAAGCAAGCTCTTCATCCGTTTTCAAGGACTCAAGGTGGATATCTGGCTCATGGAAAGCTAACCGGTTGGTAGGGACAGTCACAAAAGTTACTGTTGGGTCAGTGTTCATTTATTGGATTGCTTCTGCTGGATATGGACCTGATTCTTCTAGTCCTCCAGCTCAAGAGCAAAGTTCCAAAAACTTGAAGCTCTTATCATGCTTCACACATGCGAATTGGCAGTTGGGTGACTGGTGTCTTCTTCTTTCACCCCCTCCCCCTCAATCGTCTTCAATCTGCTTGGACAAAAAATTAGCAAAGATGGATCTTAGCGGCTCTACAAAAGAAGAAGCTTCTAAA